GTGTGTGAATCACAGTGATTTATAGCGTGTGCTATAAAGGTTGTTAAGTTTAAAGTGACATTGAAAATTCTGTGTATTACAAAAGTTGTATCAAGAAAGAATAAACTAGTTTTAATTAAGAAAGGACTTGTATCGCTGAAGTTCCTCGGAAAGAATTTATACCGGAACTCAACAAACGAGCAGATACGTAACAGTATCAACATATACACTATTGTGGATACAATGCCCTTCTTCAGGTATCACTAAATGAGCAGTAAATCAGTAATAAAAAACATACTTTTTTCTTCTTTTTATATACATACAGAAAGTGGCCTGTTTGAAATAGTGATTGTTTTATAATAAATAGCCTTTATCAATTTGTGGACGTGTTAGAATTATAGAAAATACGTATTTCGAATTATGATATTTATACTAAGTGATATATTAAATCACGATTGCATGTATGTCATCAAAAATTACTAATAAGTTTAATTTCTCATTAAATCTTTAAATCAAGTACATAACATATTTCTTTACAAATTGGTTATTCCATCGTTGTTGCTCGGTGATCTGTATCTGAACATAGTAAATGATTAATATTAAATATGACACTTATAATTCATGTTTATTTCAATATAGATATGACCTACAAAAAGGAATTATACGTTATAACAGTGGTTAGCGAGATGTTATATACATAAAAAAGGAACAAACTTCAAAGAAAATTTGTAAAGTAAAATATCAGAACATTCGATAACTTGTTTTATTCCTAACCAAATAAATATGTCCCACCGGGGGACGTAATATCAATGATAATGTATATATATTTCTTCCATATCTGAAACTGCTGTACAGACGTGACGACATTTGGGAGATATATGCTCACGATATTTAAAAATTCTAATAATAATAGTAGTTCACAAGTCACATTAAAAAAGACGATAAAACTCTATCACTTTTTTTTTATTATCCAGTGAAAAGAAGATTCAGTTGTCAAAAGCGCTAGGGTATTATCTTTTTCTCATTATGTTAGAGAACTACGTCATTACCGTGGGAAAATGACATAAAATATTATTTATAGACTAAATGAAAAGGGCTTTGGTATAAAAATACACTGTATTTTTTTTGTATAAAATGTAAAATTTTATGGACTATAAATATAATTAGATTTATTATATATTTTGAAATGCTAACGAACGTTATGTATGTAATGCTGAGAAGTGATAATGTATTAGTTAGATATAAGGAGTCTCCATGGCTCAGCGCTTAAAACAGGATTTCGATACCCGTGATGGGCAGCGCACAACTAGCCCATTCTGTAGTTTTGTGCTTAACAACAAACAAAAGATAAAAATATTCAAATGGTATTTACAGACTTGTTATAAAGATATAAATTGTATAACCAACCATTTACACAGATTTTATGGGAATGCCAACGGGCTGTATATTTTCAATATGCAATTTTTCTTTTTCTGCTGAACTGACACTAATTGAGTAGAAATAAATTGTCCTGAAAGACTTCTGTCAATCAGTCACTCATTGTCCCAAGAGGAAAAATATGACGCAATTTTCATTGCGAGTTTGCCCTGGTCAACGTGACTGCATAACTTACACAAGTCAATTTTTTCTCTCCAAATAATTTGAGTGATGTAAGCTGTTGGAATTTCCAAAATCTAAATTTTCTTTATCATTATGAAATGTATAAAAGAAATATTATTGTTGGGATTGCTGTACTTACAAAGAGGGAAAAAAAACGTTTTGTTATTGCCTCAAATTCTCTGATAATACTAGAAAAACACTTTCTGATGACGTTAGAAACAGTGACTGAAGAAACATTTTTCTTGTCTTGAAACAACATAAGACCTCGACAGTACATACTCTAAGTTACAAAACAATAGTTAACAGTTGCTGCTTAACAAATGCATAGACTCTAGGAACCAATGGATGATTTTCCAGAAACCAATCATTTGCACAAGTAATGGTGTATTTGATTACCTTTTTGTAATATATGGCAACTAGCAATATATAGCTTTACTTGGTTCGAATGAATCTTTGTATTAAACAAAGATTGAAGAGTACTTGTAAACAATTTGGAAGGCATGATCTCAAATACAAAAACATATTCAATGAATTGTGTACTGAGGGAGAAAGTAAAGTCAAATATTTGAATGTTTCTCGCCAGAAAACCGTATTACCCACATAAGCATCAACCTTCTTATGAAACTTTAAAACCTCTCAGGATGTTACTCATCTTTCATATTTGAGTTTCAAATTTCTTATATTTACAAGATTCATTGGATTTCTAATATGTAGTCAGCAATATAAATCGCAAAGGTGCTGGTAGGAAAATCAAAGACTACAAATTAAATGTGATAATTCAAATTAAGATTAGTTCCACAAAACACTTTAAATTGGCCAAAAGTAATTTATAGTAAACTAGCGGGAGTATCTGTCCTCTGAACGGAAGTTAGGTAAATTCATAATTAATGAATGGTTATCTTAGGACATGAAAAGTTGCTTCCCTGTGTAATTGTAAAAAACGCCCATAAAAACTGTAAAACACAAAATGTGAAACCGTATATTTGCATGTATAACCGCATGGACCCAATAAATCTTCATGCCAAATTCGGTGAAGAATCATCAACATGGAGGAAAGTAGTGGTAAAAGACACCCATAAAAACTGCAAAACTGAAAATTTATATGTATCTTCCCATGGACCTAACAAACCTTCAGCAAATTGGTAAAGATCCATCAACAGTAGACAAAGTACTGGTAAAAAATGTGAAAATTTGCATGTTCCCCTGCATGGACCTAATGAACCTCCTTACCAGTTTTGATGAAGATCCATCCACACCCTGCGAAGTTGGACATACAACAGAGAGTATTATTATATTTATATAAATAAAACAGAATTTGAAAAGAAAATAACTAGCTCCTATTAACACATGGTATTTAAGCTTGTTGTCTAATAAGTATTTGTATCTTTCTACCAGTTGAAAAGAAATTAATATTTTAATGGAAAAATAGCATAACAGAAATTTAGAATTGAGTAAGCCACTAGAAGTATTGGATAGTAGCACAAATTCTATCAATAGAAGCCTCAGTAACAACTTGTGCTTCATTGTGTAATATTTTGTACCTCGGCTTCAACATACAACATTGCTTTTTCACTAAAGGTTAATAGTTTCTCGTAATACAATTTTAGCTTGAATAAACCTTAAGAAACCATTGCCTCCAATCAACTTCAATTGATTTTAACAAGTAACTTGTTTCTGTTTCATTTTCCATTTTAAGTCCATTATTTATAGTATTAAAATTTTGGAAAAATAAGAAGTGCAATTTTGGAATTTCATAAATACACTGCTTTATTTCAATACAGTACCTGTTATGCTCTTTCACATCATTTCTTTTGTGTGAAATTGGTTGAGACGCATTGTAGCTTCTCCCAAGAAAAGAAATATCTGGCCTATTTAAATACTTTAAACCAAAGTTGGTAGCTTTCATACCATTTATAGTACACCAATAACAGATACTTAAAAAAGGGATCTGTGTATCTCTGAAGTAGTTTATCCAAACTGTCTTGATGTTTCAATCAGGTATAATTTGGAAGACAACACGAAACAAGTTATTTTTCTAAATGTGCCACTAGTGAAAATAATTATGACTAATTCTTTAATGAGTGAAAATTGTCCACAGATACACAGCGTGTGAACGCATTGTACCAAATAAACAAAACAACCCAGTGTTTCAAAAATAAATTTATCAACTTTCTAAAATTCATGACAACTACATGATTGAAATTCACTTTCATCTCTTACAAAGTTGTACCATGTGATGCACATTTGTGTACTAGATTTTACCTACCATGAGGAAAAGCCATTTATGACAGTTTCACTAATTAATATATCTTTTAATGAAGATCAATCATTTTATATTCCATCTTATTCAGGGAACACATTTTCTCAACTATTAAAAGATTTATATATATACATAACTAAAAACAAATGTAACATTTCCATGCATTTTTAATATGAAAAATGATTTCAATGAACTGTCTTTATTGCACTCTTCTGGAGTCATGGATTACTATATTATAATTATTGGCTATAAGATCAAAGGAGAAAAGTTGCCACTTATCAGTTTTACCTAAGATGTAAAGTACATAACAGGACGTTATAAATGTTAGTAAAAGGGAATTAGAAATAGATATAATACAATGAAAAAATACCTATATTGATTACCTAAAACCTTCATGTCTTATTCATCATTCAATACATTTGAAAGCATCAATGTATGTCCATTTTTCCATTATGGTCAGTTACACAATCTGATAGTCAGTAATCTTTCTTTTATTATTAATTTTTCTTATTCTTCCAACCAACTGACAGCATGTTGCCTCATCTAACCATGTTAGTTTGTTTGCAACACAATTCACATCCAATCATCCATATATCTATTAAATATAGTCGTGGTAACATAAGTTTCAACAATGCTATCTATTAATCAGTCAGTGCTACTGATTACTGATTAATCTATATAAAAATTGGATTGATTAACTTGAACAAAAATATGGATTTTTATATCTCAGCTTTAGATTTTAATGGACTTTTTTTTCAACCATTTGGAAGAAATTGCATACCATCTCTTAATTAAAATAATTGAATAGAGTTGTGTAATTAGATATTGGTAATTACATCTTCAGACTGAATGGTCACTATGTCAGTAGTCAAGTTTTACCACATGATGATACTTATTTTGAGGGGGGGGGAAGAAAGACAGGAAAGTAATGGTTTGATTTAATCCAAGAATTAAAATACATAAACAAAAAATAACAAATGTTTTGCAATAAATTCAATTCTCACCTACATGGAATAAAATCTATTACTGAAATTGAAAACAAAATTCAGTCATGTATAAACAAAGTACACAACTTTATTTGCTCCTAGCTCTTCCATTTCAAATATAATCAACAAGTAAAACAAACTACATTAAAAGAAGTATAAAAGACAAACAAATGATTATAATTTTCAACACTTTGCACCATTTAACTAATGTCTTTTCAGTATAAAATCTGTTAAAGTATGATAATAACAAAGTCATTTCTTTTTTATCAAATTTTTTCACATACTAAAATTTTATCAACCTAAGATCAACTGTATAGAACTTAGTAAATATTTATAATTTTATTTTTAAAATAAAATATATAAATACACATAATATGATGACATTTAAGAGTATGTCAACAAACTTTCATCTCCTTTCCCACATTTTATCAAGCTTTAAAATGTGAAACTTTTAGTGGTTATAAAAGCGTTTGCTTTTTCAGTAGGTTGCTGGTTTATTATTTTGGAATTTTTTTTTCCAGTGAGAAATCAATCATTGAAGTTCTTTTTTGTAAGAAGGGAGGTAAGTGAAAAAAACAAAACATTATTTATCTATGACGTAATGTTCTTGAAAGCAAACATTAACATAATTGTACACTTACGTTGTATATTTTTCAAAAATAGCATTAATATACATAAAATATGAAAAATAAATTCTGTCATATTTGCATAATTTTTTCTTTTTTAATTTTAATTATAATTTGAAGCATTACTCAAAATGGAGTTAAGAAACACATCTTTGGGATAAGCTGATCAATAAAACAATGTTTGGGGCTCTATACAAAACAACTAACAAAATGAAAAAAATACCTATGCTATTTTGTTTTTCCTCTAAGAACCTACTAAATTGGTCAATAAACCAAAAAATCTTAAGTAGAAATTAAACAGCATACCTAAAGAAGAGAAAATATTTCGTAGCCATATTTCTACAACCCTAACTATTTGATTACATAAAACTGTTTGGACAAAAATCTGCACTATTTCACATTTTTTTCTGATGAGAATCATGAACCTTTCAAAGTGGAAATGTGCTTCTCATGTAAGGGTACATAAATGTTTTTTTTTTAACAAGCCACATTATGACCCTATGTTTGTAAAGATTAAATTAATTAATTTAAATTAGCCTCATCATGTTGGGTATCATTATTCCTACTATCGGCTCTCATATTACAAAGGAATGAGAATAAACACAGAAGTACTTTTGAAATTTTGTGTGATGGATCAATTTGCATTAAACGTGTTAGTAAGCTAGACCACGTTAGCATACAGAATGCATTCTAATATAAGTTAAACATAATCGTTATTAAATAGAATACAACAGCATAAAATTAAATGTGACAGATTTTAATTTTTAAGTGTTTAAATTATCAATCTTAATAAATTATATGACAGTTCTTATTTTCTCTTACCCTACTTTTTAAGGTAATTATTATGTGCCTAAGTTACTCATAGATTTTCTACAATCCAAGACTTCCTCCAACAAATACACACTCACTCACACATAATATATATAAAGTTCTAAATTATAATTAGAAAGTATAAAAGACTCAATACCACTGTTGTTAAAATTAAAATGGCCAAGATTTGCAGATGAATGCAACATGTTGCCATCATTCAATTTCAACATGGCCAATTTTGACACCAGAAAAGTTATGAAAGACACAGAAAAATTAAAAACTATATCACTGCTTGGTACCTACAAGGATGTATTTTTGTATCCAATTTCATGTAAGTTGGTTGACATACACATGAATAGTTCAAGAAAAACCCGAATTGTGCTTTCTTGCTGAAAAATTGAGTAAAAGACAAAAATTCCAAAATTTTCTATATCTTTGTTCGGGACCCGTAAAAAAGTGTATGTACCAAATCCAATATAATTTGGCTAAAATACTGCAGAATAATTGTTAACAAACCCTAAAATTTGAGCTGCATTTCTTAAAATGCTCTTCTATAGTTAAAAACTTACATTTTTACTGACCTAGAACTTTATCAAATTTCAGTTGCTAATATACTAAATATGCATTAATAACACATACTGAATAACAATATAACTAGTCTTCCAATTTTAAAAATGTACTGTTGTTTACAATTTTATAGCAATGATCCTTGTAATCAATGGGATTTTTCTGCCTCACATCATTAATATGATTATACAAATCTCTGACTACTTTTGGAATAGGAGAAAACTTTCCAATTTTGGAAATGACATCATCATAGTTCCACTGGAGGTCTCTTGTCATTTTATGTGCATATCTGGAAGGCAAACCCATCTGCATCCGAAGATCAAAATCTGCCTTTTCATCTTCTTTCATCTCACTTTCACTTGGCAAGATAACTGATCCATCAAGTACCCTTAAAAAAAGCAGCACCTGCTGATGATAAATGGGAAATGGTAGTATTGTTTTTAGCACACCAAAAATAGCCAGTGTTGGAAATTCAATGTGTATAAGGTGCTTATACAGAGGCTGCATTCGTTGGTCCTGAACAAATACTTTACAATCAGGATGCAGAAATGAAACATCATAGTTATAACCTGTGCATAGAATCAGAACATCCGTTTCAAACTCACGACCATTTAGAAACCTCACTGTTGATTGAGTTACTTTAGAAATACCAACTTCTTCTGAAAAGTTTTGTGGACACTTTTCAAGAAACTTTTTGTTCATGTTATGACTCAAAATAACCTGTTAATATCAAGATTTTGAGATTAGAGATGTTCTTGCATTACATTCAATCTCCAAAAAATTAACATACAACTTCCTAATAGTGATAAAATGTTTAAATTTGATTTTATGATAGTCCTAAATGGAAGCCAAAAAGATTTTAACAAAATACCTTAAACAATTAATTATGATGAGCATGTATTATGCATTTTTGTAAGCTTTGAAATAAATTCTATCATAATATTATTAACTGCTAGCTTAATAAATAACATTTTATATTTTAATGTTCAGAAATGGTATTTTGTTTCAATAATAATGTACTATTTATAGTTCATTCAAAGCTGCTAGATTCCTGCATTAGAAGTGTTTAATGGCAATGTATAGTGCTCTAATGGCTGTTATTACTTTTTTTTCTTTATCTTTTATTGATGACATCATGAGCAACTGTTAAGAAATACTGATAGAAGTTTAGGTTACAAACCAGTCATGTTTAGCTATATCTAATAACAATTAATTTCTCATATGTTATTAGTATAAATAATAACAACATAGCATTTGTACAATTGTATACCAGTTATGAAATTTGATATGCCAAAAGATACAAGTTCACAGGATTAGACCAAACCACTAAATTGTTTTTAAAAAATATATGTAAACATTGCTTAATAAATATATTGTATAATCAGGTTTTAATTTTTGATCTTACAGTAATACATACTTGAAGTCAATTGAAGGTGATATATTTTTTCAATATGCTTATGTTTCTTTCAGTTGAACCAGAGGGTCTAGTAACAAGCAGCATGTGTGAAAGTTAAGTAAATAGCTTTGCAAGAACCAGCACAGATCTGTCAAAAATCATTATCTCTTGGAGCGTTCAATAATTTTTCTCAGTTGCAACTACAGAGCTTTGAGCTACAGAAATTGCTATCAACAGTAAATGAATTTACCAATTCAAAACTTCTGTTTTTGTTTGGTGTTACAAGATTTTGTATTATTGTACTGATGAAAAGAACAAAAGAAAAGCTTTAAGGTTTAATTTGACATGTAACATTTGGAAGATACAAAATTCAAACCACACAAGATTGTTCTCATTTTGTTATGAAAAACCCAGATACTATTAATTTTGGGGTCCTAAGTAGGGCCCCCATCCCACCAAACATGCTTGCCCTTTCAGCTGTGGGGCATTATAATGTGACAGTCAACCTCACTATTCTTTGGTAAAAGAGTAGCCCAAGAGTTGGCAATGGGTGGTAATGACTAGCTGCTTTTCCTCTAGTCTTTCACTGCTAAATTAGGGATGGCTTGTGAAGATAGCCTTTGTGTAGCTTTGCGTGATATTCAAAACAAAAACAAACAAACCTAAGTAGGCCTCTGACATCCTGGTGATGGGTGCCTTTCATACTCAACAATAAAACCCTTTAGCATTTAAAGCTGCCTTTGGCACTCACAAACTGTGCAATCATTCATCAAGCATACATGTTTGTTGTTGCAGTTAGATATAATGAACAATTAGTATAAATTTGAAACCCTGAGGTTTAGTATTTTAGTTTGAGGATATTTAAAAAAATTATAAGTTTCTATGACAACTAAGTTACACTCTTCAATTTCATTATATGCGCCACTTGCTAATCTGATGAATCCTTAGTAAAGTTAAGTATACAAAAATACAAGTGCAGTAAAACATTGTATCTCAGCCATATTGAGCACAACAAGTTTTGATAAATATCTTGAAGCAAGCCAAGAATTCCCTATCTTCAGACATAGTTAAATGTGGAATAAATACTTTTAATGAAACTAGTTTTATGAAATTATCAGTCTCTAAATATAGAACATGTTAAAGTTTGTGAGGTGGTATCCCTTCATTTTTTTTATTTATTATTATTATTATGTTCATAGTTAATAACCTTTCCCTATATAGTTTAGTTAAGGTTTCTCTTGAGTTTGTTTATGCACAAAGCTATCTTACACCACAATAGAGTTAACAATATAACAATTCAAAATATTTTCACATCAGTACACACAAAACTATATTTTATTACTGATTATTTTATCGTACATTAATTGATCACTGAATGTTATTTGGTACCAAAGAAAATAAAAAAGAAAGTACTTTTCCAATGGGGTTAGTTTGTTTTGAATTTTGCGCAAAACTACACGAGAGCTATCTGCGCTAGCCATCCCTAATTTAGCAGGGTAAGACTAGAGGGAAGGCAGCTAGCCATCACCACCCACCACCATCTCTTGGGCTACTCTTTTAACAATGAATAGTGGGATTGACCATCACATTATAATGCCTCCATGGCTGAAAGGGCAAGCATGTTTGGTGTGACGGGGCTTTGAACCCGTGACCCTCAGATTGCGAGTCGAGCGGCCTAACCACCTGGCCATGTTGGGCCTCCAATGGGGTTAAAGGATTTGTTTTAGAGCAAAGCCACACTGAGTAATTTGCTGTGTCCACCGTGAGGAACTGAACCCCAAGATTTTAGTGCTGAAAGTTTGTAAACTTACTGCTCTCCCATGACAGGACAAAGGTAAATGATAAATAAAGATACATTTTAATTTTCTATATTTCTTTTTTTCCTACTTTAAAAAGAAATTTTTCTAAAATATAAAGTAATGGGCATACGGTAACATGTTACATTTCCCAACTTGTACAAGTTTCTTCAACTTGAAAAGTTTTACTTCCATACCAACATATTATTTTACTCAATTACTAAATGTTTATAATTTTTTGTACAAATATTTTAGTAATCACAATACAAATAGGTAGGTTAAATATTAACTGTATTAATCAATAAATATTTTTTACACTAATCACACTGAAGTTTAAGAAATAAAGTATGCATGTATATATGTGTGTGTATATGTAAATATAAGTTGATATAAGTTCATAAGTTCACCTGTTCTGCAACTTCAGCTAATTCAACAGAAATATCAACACCAGAGGGTCCAGCTCCAAGAACAACCACACGTTTTCCTTTGTACGGAACGTTTGAACGATAGTCATGACTATGTATTACCCAACCTGGAAATGATTCTAATCCCTTAATATCAGGAAAACTGGGACAAGCATAGCGACTAAAAATTAAAAATAAAACAGGATAAGAGTGTTTATCAAATTAAAACTAATGAAACATCTGACAAAACTATTTGATAGTATTAAAACATGATAAATTCAACCTCTACTTGAACTTTTATGTATATTTCTATATTTTTGATAATAATATCCATCTTCTATTTAGTTATTAGGTGCTAAACACATGGGCTTTATACTAGCCTCCACTACATTATTATAACATTTTTGAGATTTCATTTAAATATACATGTTGTATTAAATCCTAATTTAAATTCATATAATAACAGAATGGATCAAGTATGTATTTAAACTATATATATATCCTTATCATAAAGACAGTAAACAACATTAACATCAACCATAGTTTGTGATATTTGTGTTCAGCTTTATATCAATTTTGATATCAATTAAAAAGATATGTAAATGTAAGATAAACTAAAGATCAATCTCAGTTTCACTTCAACATTGTTAAGCCATTTATAAAACAAAGAACTAACTTAAAAAAACAACATGTCAACAAGAAAATGTCTCTAAAACTAGAAATTCAAAAGATACAAGTCTCTAACATTATAGGATGTATAAGCTTATAAAGGGTTGATTTTACATAACTTTTATTCTGAAAAACATCTGGCATTTTTGAATATTATGATAAATCATATTATTTATTAATATGCTTGAAAATAGAGGCAAGTAAAAATGTAAATACCGAGTCAATTATTATTTTGATAAGAATGTGTTATTATACTACAAAATGTATAATAATTATATAGGTAAATTTCAGGAATGCATACTCATCAGTTCAGTTAGGATAACAACAAAAATTAAAGATACCATATCTCTTAACCAATAAAATGAATTATGAAACTAATATGATACAATTTTGCTTTGACATGTTTCCCTAGCATAGTTTTTAAAAAAAAAAGAAGCCGAATTAGAGGGTATCGATTAAATGGTTTATGATTGTTAAGGAAATTAAGTATTGATACATCATCCTTTTTTTGTACTTGATGGTGAGAATAATAAGACTAGAGAACACAGATATCAATTTTGGCAGGATAGGAGTCATCCTTAGCTAAGACAGTTTTATTTTTCTAACAGGGTGATTGACCTTTGGAATGGGTTACCTTCAGATGTGTTGTATGCAGTGAATTTAAAGGAAGGCTTGATAAATATTTAAATTATAAAGACTGATTTTGAGTTTTTTATTTTTATTCTTTATATAGTTTAGTTTAAGTTAGTGTAGTGTAGCTTGATTTAGTGGAAGGACAGAAAAGGTCAACCAACAGGTCCCTTGTTGTCCTTAACTTTTGTTACGTAATGATAATAGAAAATTATTAGATTTTTATGCCCTGTACAATGAAGGAAAAATTAAAATAATAATTATCTTTCATGAACATCACACATCAAAGCGCTTGTGTGAAAATAAGTTTGCCGATGATAAAAAAAACAAAACAAACAAGCTTAAGTTAGAATATTAGAACTCATGTAGAGTCAAGAAAAAGAACACATAATAAAAACAACTTTGTCTTAAATGGATTTTACCGAGTTTCAAGAATACCAGTAGCAAGAAATATTGCAAAATTTCAAAGCATGAAGAAACACAAGTTGTTTCAAATCAGTTGCTTACACTTATGCTTTAAAGCAGTTTTACTAACACAGTAGCAATGGTTTTTGGTCCTGTTCACTTATTTTGGCAAAAACTTCTTTAATTATCTTGTGGTTTACATAAAACAAAAACTTTTCTATTACTTCTATTTTGTCCCCCCATTGGTTCAATGTTATGTTAACAGACTTACTCTGAAGCAAACAAATGGTACTTCTACTCATCAGAGATTGATTTATTTCACTTCATAATCTCAAGCCATTCACTTTCTTTAATGTTATTGATAGCCCAGAACTTCCAAGTATCTCACATGAGATTTCAGAGTTCATGCTTCATGGCCATAATATGGGTACATTCATGCATGGAAATTTTGGTTCAGGCACGTGAAAATAAATGTTCTAATACTGATACTGACTTTACAGTAATCATCAATATCAAACAATTTTATGTTCTGAGGTAGGTGTTAGGTACATGAATGCAATATACATTACAAATTGGCTTAAACCATATAAACAGTAGCTCAAAAGAGTGCTACCAGATCAATTTGCATATTAATTGGAGACTATTAAGTGGGTGGTTTAAGTTGTTACATCTGTTATACTTACAGATTTTGCAATCAAAACAAACATGACTTTAACTATGAAGTAGATTGTTTTTAAGGCAATTGATAATGGATCATGAACTCTTACTTATTGCATCTTTGAAGACGAATGGTAATCAGCAATCAGCCTGATCGTTAGATTAAAGCAGCGATCTCCAAACTTTATGAAGTCATGGAACCCCCAACCCTTAACGTCTAGCCTAGAGGAAAGTGACCAAGTTCATAACAACATAATTAATGCAAAATTGTAAACTGTGTAAAGAAGACTGAATAACAGCTGATTCATGATATTAAAAAATACATTTGGTCTCCAACAGGTAAACACCCAATAATTGAAAAAAAAAACACCATTACCTGTTATATTTGTGGGAAACCCCAGATAATCTTTCATGGAACCCTGGGGTTCTATGGAACGTGGTTTGAAAACTGCTAGATGCATTCTTGTAATTATTAAATAATGACCACCCATACTTGTTTTTAAGGTTTCAAACCTCCACCCTCGGAAATTGACACAAAGGGTATGTCACCCCAAGTTCTGAAATCTTATGTAGATCCCCACTTTCTTTAAAGAATATTTCTCATATACTCAAAAGTTTATCTCTTCTGCAATGGAAAGAAAGATATACAAGTTTTCACTGTTGTATGAAGTACTAAGAATATAAAATCTATTAACTGCACAACATAATGAGCTCGAACTAACTTTTTTCACTATGGTGTTAAACTTAGGAATGAAGCAACTCAAGACTGATTAAACAGTTTAACTGCCATAACAAACAAACATATATACGGGCAAAATGCCTTATGTCTGCTTATTATCAATATTTCAAGTAATGCACCTGGGATGCGTAAGAAAAATTACAAAATTACATGATGTTTACTGTTTAATTAATTATTATAAGGACAAAACTTATACACTAAACAAATAATGACATAATATAAAAGCTGTGGGTATGTAATGTATCTACATTAATGACCTACGAGTTAAAAAATTACAGCTGTGCTTCTCGACCAATCAGTTTGATATAAATGTTGAAATAGATCTCTTTTTTTCTTGAAATTAAGACTACTTGAAGAATATCCAATATACCAGGTTTTTACTTTGGCCTAAGTACATGTTTGCCTAATAAACAAAATGAGTTGTAATTGTATTTGTTTCCCTTGATTGGTTGAAAATCACTTGAGTAACTTGTGTAGTTATAGAAATAACATTGTTGTAAACACACTTATGAACATGTATAAAACAATATTGAATTGTCTGAAATAACACAACTGGAAAAGTAAACACACTATTGGCCTGGTGTTCAGGTTTTATGTACAGAAGGTGACACTACTGTTTGCATGTTAAGTTAGTTAATCTGAAATAATGTTACATCAGAAAATCGTTTTTTTGACAAAATAAGTAAAAAAGTAGGTGTTGCAGTTGAAAACAGATTTATAGAAGGAACATGTTTAACAAATGTAATTTTTTAAAGGGTAGTACGATCACTGCTCTTCTACAAATAAAAAAAGGACCAATCCTAACAACTAATTGAGTTTTTAGATTGTTTTTAGACTTTTCATAATTACTTTATAATGATCTATGATGTTAAATTATTTAAGTCTTGAACCAAATTAAGACATACCCATTACACACCATAATGGCATCAAAGATATGTTGTGTTGACTCTCTGCTTCGTAAATTCTTTACTTTCACTTCCCAGTGTAAATGGCTTCTGTCAACAGTAACAGGTTTAACTTCCAAGATATGGCTGTAAAACTAACAGGACAAATATGTTCAGAGTAAGAAAAAACTATGCACATGAAATTATATGTTTTTCAGTCGGTTTTAACCTCGTTTTATTTTTACAAAATACGTACAATTATTTTACATATAGCAGCGATTTTCTACAAAGGAAAAATGTATAAAACATCAATTTTGCTGATGAGTGAAAGCCGTCAAGAGTGTAGTAAAAAATTACAATTCAATTAATTTCAGTTATCCTTAAAAAGTTCACATGAGCAAAACTTCAAAGAACTTCCTAAGAATTAAAAATTATTTAAAACTCACATCAGGTAAAATATATTTACAAGTAACTGCCCGATGTTTTAAGTTAACATACGAGTTACGTTACTAACTCTTTTGGCAAAACATCTGGTGATACGTATTACAATTACAAATTTAACTCACAAGACTTTTATATAGAACATTAAGGGTGGGGATGTATCATAAAATCCAACAAAGTCAATTTTTAAAATGTTGATGCAGATGCTGATGAGAGAAATTAATAACTGCTTTTTGAAAAAAAAAAGATAGAACCAAAGTCAGATTGTGATTCATGTAGAAACTGAAAAACTCATGTTAAATCAATATGCTTTCAATGAATAGGTTATACATTAAAGATAATGCAACTTGAGTAAAGTATGTCATTAATTCAGACCTTTTTTGCTGAAAAAAAAAATACACCTAAAAGAATATCATGTATTTGTTTAAATAATATATGAATTTGTTGTACAAGGTACTAGTTAAAACACCATTTGGAGCATTGTGTGCATCTCTCCTCTTAGTCTGGGAAGGACCTTGAAAATGTTTCAGAGGAGGCCTACTAGGGCAATTCGTGGGGGGGGGGGGAGGTGATTTGTAAAATGAACACAGATTGAGATCTCTTAAATGATTCTCTCTTGGAAGGAGGATTATGGGTGATCTAATTCAAATATTCAATATTAAGGGAGGTTATAAGATCTATCTAACACTAGTCTAATGTGTTCTTTACACATACTGTTAGTGTGGAAAACATTTAAACATGAACTTCCCATCTCTAATAGATCTGGCATGGCTTGGTGGTTAGGGAGCTTGACTTGGAATCTGTTGGTTGCAGGTTCAAATCCCTGTCACCATACGTGCTCACCCTTTCAACTGTTAGGACATTATAATGTGATGGTCAATCCTGCTATTCATTAGTAAAAGAGTAACCCAAGGGTTAGAAGTGGGTGGGTGGGGTTGACTAGCTGCCATTCCTTTAGTTCATTACTGCTAAATTAGGGATGGCTGGTGCAGATAGTCCTCGAGTAGGTAAGCACAAAATTCAAACCAAACCCATCACTAAACAATACAAATTAAATGCATAAATGTTGTATTATTCAAGAATTCCAATGTTATATAAAAACCACCTGGAATGTGGTGTTTCTTACAAAGTACTGGAAAGTACTTGTGAGTTTGTAATATTTCCCGTAACTTGATCAGACAGTTTCAAATTTAGATTAGCTTTACTTATAAATATACATCATTATTTATCATATAAATATAATACAGAAGATATACTAAAAGCAGAAGTAAACAGCGATAATATAACAAAATTTAAGGCCACCAAGCCAGCTCTTATCATTTAAATAGTTATCAAGCCTTTTTCTAAAATCCCTTTAATTTACTATATCCATTACATCTGAAGACAACCCGTTCAAAAGGTAAACCACCCTATTAAAAAATAAATCTGTCTGAGCTACAGATGTCTGCTACCCTGCCAAAATTTATGTTTGTGTCCCATAGCCCTACAGTTCTTATTGTACAAGAAAAATGATACATTGACACTATCAATTCCATTAACAATCTTATATATTTCAGTCAGATCACCCCAACCTTAACTCTTCTCTTTTTAAGAGAAAACAATTTCAGAAATTTTAATATTTTCTCATATGACAACCTTTCCATCCAAGGTATTATCCTAGTAGCCCACCTCTGAACTCTTTCCAATAATTAAGTGTCCTTTCTGAGGTAAAAGACCCAATACTGAATACAATACTAATACTTCAAATTATGATAACTCGCATGCATGATGTTGCATTTGTTATAATTAAAAGCCATCTGCCATATTTCTCTAACTCACCAAATAATTCAAATTCTTTTTTTTAAAGCAGCATCCTCCTCATAGCTAGTGACACCCAAGACCTTGATATCATCAGCAAATTTAAGTAATTTTATTGACCATTCTTTCATCTATGCCATTGATGTAAAGCAAAAAGAATCAAAGTTCTAACAATGAGCCCTGAGGTACCCGATAGCATTAGTTTAATGGAACTACATTTATAGCAATCCTCTAATTCTTCTTCCAACCAGCCACTTTTCTATCCAATGAGTCAACTCAACCTCCTCATACCTACACAGATAACTTCTGACAAGCCTTTTATGTGGCACCTTGTCAAATGTTCTCTGAAAATCCAGATACACCAAATCCACAGCTTTAACCTCATTTACACAAGTAGTAACTTCTTCAAAAAAGCTTAAAGTATTAGTAAGACAAAATTTTCACTTAGTGAAAACAATGTTTGATTATTATCCAATAAAAATTTTAACTTTGTTAAATGGCTTTGCAAAGTATCTTTTATTGGATTTCAAAAACTTTTATACCACTGATGCAAGACAAATAAGCCTATAATTACTGGGACAATTTTTATCACGTCCCTGTAAAAGATGAGTAAAATTAGCCAGATTCCAATCTTCAGGAACCTGCCCACTATTCAATGACATACAAAAAATTGTAGCAGCTGGTTTACATATCCAGTTCTTAACCAATTCAAGTTATGTTAGCAGTGGAAAATATAAGTCCCAGCTGCAGTTAAAAGGATTAATCACCTTCAAATCCCTAAAGGAAATATTATACAGCCCAGGATTGTTATCATTCTTCAAACTTCTCAATTTTTTCTTAATAAGCTCAGAATTAATGTGATAATCTTTTTCAATCATGTAAGCAACAGCATTAAACAACAAATCCTTATTAAGAAAACAAAAACTGTTTTACACCACTTAAGAAGGGACAGAAGTACTGCAAAAAATGGTACAAATATTGGATATTTATTAATTTTAGTGTTTTCGGCAACTTTTATAAATACCAACTTAGAACATACAAGACCTGGCAACTCAAAAATCACATAAAAAGCATCTACATACTTTGTTTATGATGGATAGAAAATGTTTAAAATGTTGTATCTGTCAGGGAAAGTTCGAAAGTTTTTCAAACATTCAAAGGGCTTAAAAAGACAGGAAAGTTTCAAATAGACCACAGATACAAAGATACTCTTTAACTTGTTTAATTTTTTATGATTTTATTGAAATTAATATAATTTTATTCAAGTTCTGTTTAGTGATATAAATCGCATAACAGTAATAAATCATTTAATCTGACTTTTTTAAAATACAAAACTGATAAAAGATATAATAATCCTCCATCTGTTAAGAAAAGAAATACAAGACTTTAAAAATACTAGGTCAGGAGTTTAAAAAAAAGTTATCTTTTAGGCTGTATCTACATGAACTGCAAGAATTCCCTAATTCTTTACTTGTGTGATTAATGGAAACTGAGACATACCTGGACATATTTGATCAGGTCAAAATATTTTGCATATTTCTGGAGATAACCAAGAACTTTACTGTGATGAATAAATGAGCCACCTTCATTTTCTGGAAAAGGAAAATCTGGAAAGCCCATGATTTCCTTGGGCAAGTTTGTTCTGTAATAACAGACATAAAGCAAAAGTGTTCAAATAATTTCATTGTATACTACTCAAAAAATATCCTTTAGTGCAACATAATTTATATTAAATCACTGCTGCAGCCACTTTTACAATTTTAAATATACTTTTCAGCTTGAGACTTCAATCACTTTTTTCTAATAAACGCTATATAAAATTATCATGTAAAGTTTTTAACTAATCAGTTGTCAAAATTAAACAAGGTTAGAAGGCTTCATGCCCACCTGCTTTAGCATTATGTGTCATAGAACTGAACATAGGATTGTTTAAGACTATATCAACATTATTATGTTGGTATTATTTGAAGGATTCTTAATAAGGAAAAACCTTGGGCACAGGATGTAGATACACACTATCAGAACACTTTGCATTTTAGATGCATTCAAAATATGAAATTTACAGAATTATGAGTAATTCTAAACTTATTTTCATTTTTGCTTCCGTACTTGGTTGATTAACAATATGTACTATTAGAAACATTCACTTACAAGATTCATTCAAACACATAACTCTTGTTATTAAGCAATTGTTTTGTTGGCATTGGCTTATAAGAAGTTTAATTGGAAAGCTGTTAGTAATATTGTTGCTGGAAACCCATAACGTTCAGATATAATGTTATAAATTCCTACTTTCTAATGTATATATAAAAGCCAGATGTTGTTTTGTAATACTCCATTCATCTGTGTGTAGCTTAGCAACAAAACTTTGCACATACCACAGTTATTTTTCTAATTGTCTGAACCTTGAATACCCAAAGTATAAAATATTTCATGGATTTATATATATAGTGCCATTTAATAGATGGTGCATGAGTTTTGGTTACATACATAGATACTGACATACATGCTACATCCATTATAGTAAGATATATTAGATTTGAATCACCAGAAAAAAAAGTAGTGTTACGTCAAAAGTTATGAACTTTAAATAAAGTTATGAAAATCATATCAAACTTTTATTAAACTTTTCTTTTTCTTTTTATTTACTTTTCAGCTCATTCTCCACATCATGACTATATCAAGAATACTTGCATGTCATTTCTAATGTCAAAAAACGTTCTAAATGAAACTGGAAAAGTTTTCTTTTTTTTGTTATTGCTGCATAATACAACATTTTCAAATGTTTTTAGCATCCATTTTTTCTATTCATGTTGTAATTTTTTTACATGCTGTAACAAAAAAACAGAAATGCATGTTTTTAATACCTATCATTTTCATTTATATAGTTGTTGCTCCTGTAAACTGATGTGACTGACACAGTTAAGATAGTTTTTCTACATCTTTAAATCTAATGTATATATATGACAACCATTTCTTTATCACAGAACACAATTTTAAATAAAGTCCTTTCCTCACAGAAAGAACATGACTTTCACAAGGACTGTACGTGAGGATTTTATTATATCTTTCTTGATATATTTTTTATAGGTAGTACTGAGAAACTATAGTTCTTAAAAAAACTATTATTTTTCAATACACTATACCACTTTTAAAATATAAAACATTACAGTTTATATCAGTAAAAGTTATGAAATGTTGGAGCTCTGTACATTGAATCATTTTGATACAATGAGTTGCATATGACTAAAGAGCACAATCCAAATACTTTTCCCATGCAGTACTTCCCAGGAAAAAAATCCTTTTATAGGAAATGTTAACTTTTTTCTAAATCTTTCTCAATGAGATATGAATATTATGATCAGTAATTACTAGCACAAACAGCCACCCATGTGGTGGCATTTCTGCTAGTATAAATAAAACCCAGTTGTCAATTTGAGTCATTTTTCATTTAAGTTGCAACATTCTTATTGATTTAAAATATAACATAACATAATGTTTATGGACAACAAGGAACATATTAGTCCATCTAGTGTCCCATCCTCTACACTAAACTAAAACTATTAAATTAAAAAAAATAAAATTCAAAAAACCCAAAGCCAGTCCTTGACATTCATATAGTTATCAAACTTTCTCTTGAATTTACTGCCTCAACAACATCTAAAAGTAACCCACTCCAAAGGCCAACCACCTTGTTAGAAAAATAAAACTGTCTTAGCAGAAGATGACTCCTACCCTGCCAAAATTTATGTGTCCACTAGTCCTACCATTTTCACCATTAACAATCTTAAGCACCTCAATCAGATCCCCTCTAACTCTTTGTTTTTCAAGAGAAAACAACTTCAGATATCTTAACCTCTCCTCGTATGACAACCCCTTCATCCCATGCACCATTCTAGTAGCCCTCCTTTGAACCTGTTCCAACAATTCAATGTCCTTCCTAAGGTAAGGAGCCCAAGACTGCACTGAACACAATACTCCAAATGTGGCTTAACCAGTGACCTGTACAATGAAATTATAACCTCTTTAGACTTGTATTCAATATTTCTGTAGATATAACCTATAATCCTATTTGCCCTACCACTAGCAGCAGCACACTGATTGGATGGCTTAAGAGATTGATCGACCACTACACCAAGATCCCTTTTCTTTTGTAACACTGTTAAGGTTATTCTCATCCAATTTATACTTATAATTCAAATTATGATAACCCACATGCATTATCTTGCATTTATTATAATTAAAGCCACTTGTCATTTATTTGTAAAGCAGCAGCATCCTCTTCACAGCTAGCAACACTCAATACATTAATATCATTAGCAAATTTAAGTAATTTATTTACCATTCCTCGATCTATGTCATTGATGTAAATCAAAAAGAGCAAAGGTCATAAAACTGAGCCCTGAGGTACCCCACATGTAACATTAATCCAATTTGATTGATCTCCATTTATAATAACCCTCTGCTTTCTTCCTTCCAGCCACTTCTCTATCCAATCAGCTAACTTATCTTCCACACCTGGAGATGTAATTTTTTACAAGCCTTTTATGTGGCACCTTGTCAAATGCTTTCTGAAAATCCAGATACACTAAATCTACACAATTACCCTCATCTACATAAGCAGTAACCTTTTCAAAGAATGTCAAATGATTTGCAAGTCAAGATTTTCCCTTAGTGAAACCTTGTTAACCAGCCAATAAAATTCTAAACTTTGTTAAATGATTTTGCAAAGCATCTTTTATCAGATTATCTAAAACTTTCCCACAACTGATGTAAGATTAATGGCCTACAATTATTATAATTTTGTGAAATTTTACTTGAAAATTGTTTTTATTTTCTCAATGTGCAATTGTTTTTCTTTTATGATAAAGGGGGAAGTTTAGTGAACAAAGCTTGCTGAAGAAAGGGTGGGGGCCCTATTTTTTTTTTTTTTACAAAACTACGACTCATAATTTTTTTATGGGGTGGGCAAAGCTAGTTCTTCTTATAATTATGTCACTGTTCTATACAATACACCAAAAAATTGAAATAATAAGGTTTTTTAAATATTCTATAACTGACCTCATATTCTTGTACATGCTGGAGTGCACTGGAAGACCAAACTCATCTGTGCCTACATTATCTTGGTAGCACCATGTCCCTCCTACATCACCAGTCTGTTCAAATACTGTAAAGATGAAAAACTCAGGTCGAGCAGCTAGATGTCGAGCTGCACATAGACCTGCTGCTCCTGCTCCTATGACTCCTACTCTCTTCATTTCTAAGTTCTGTATAGCTATACTGGATAACCAAACAAATAACTATAAACTAATTAAGATCCTATGCATTTTGAACATAAGATTTTTGTTTCCTATGTAATTAAATAATGGTAACCTATATTACATGGTAGTACAAAAATTATGAGTGGTGTTTCTATCGATTCAACTTGATGACCTATGTAAGACTACATTAACAATACACGTCAGTATTCAACTTCAAGCTTGTATTCGTGCAGAACTTAAAACCCATCATTTCTCTTTTTCATCAACATTACTTAAAGTTTTCGTCTTACGAAAACCAATTTTTAAATATTTTCAAGGGTTATTTTAAAAATCAATATAAATTCGTATATACGGCTATATAAACAAATACTGTTGTATTTAAGACTAGAGATAAATAAATACGTTATACCTCTGTACTATAACTTATAGGATTTTACAACATGAGATAGGTTGCCTAAGAAGAAATAGTTTCGTCCTGTTTGTTTAAAAATAAAGTACCATATATTAATATATTACTAACGGTACATTACTCATTAGTGTTAAAAATTACATGCATAGCTAAATCTTTCATTCCTTAGTGTAATTTATTGATACATATTCTGTAGACGTAATTTTTTATTATTCTTTCAATTTAAACAAATAAATCTTTGTTAATAGTGATACTATTACTAACAGCTAAAACTAAAAATACCCTCCCAATCCAATACCTTGAACAAGTTACAAGCTCGCTGACTTTCACGTGCTTTTGATTTCCACGAACCAAACTCCCGAAAGATGGTGTAATAGTTAGGCGTATTTTATAGCTACACTGTTCTGCTTCATTGGGATTTAGGTCCTTGTTTGGATCGTGGGTGTAATTTCTCCCCCAGCATATGTTTTTTATTTTTTTCAGTATTTTTATTTCTCGGCATTTTTGTACAGTGTCAAATGTTGAACGCGACATAAAAGAGGGTATTACTTTCACGAGTGTTTATCATATGAATTCAATTCCCCTATCAGGGCCAAGACCATTTATGTTCAAACGTTCACCATTTACACTGGTCCATATATTCCAGTGCCATTCATAATGTGGCTTATTCTATATGTATTTACATAAATTACCCTTTTAATACACTATATTATAAACTGCATAATGATATTTTAGGTAGGTCTAACAATAGGTGGCATATTACTACATTTATATTACATATTTATGGATGAGAGGTACTTAGGCTCATTTCTATCATGTATGATATAGCGATCTAGTGCGCGTAATATTTAGTTTTTATGAAGATTTTTCTTGAAATAGGTGAATGATCTGCTTAGAAGTCTCTCATGGAGTGGTTGTAAGTTTGTGTAGGAAGTGAGAATTTGTTGAGCGGGGAACTTTGTATGCGAGTGAGTATTGCATTTTGTTGCTTTTGTAGTTTAGTTTTAATTTTGGTAGGTGCAACATTAATCCACGCTGGATAAGCACATTCTATAATCGGCCATATATATTGTTTGTATATTTTATATAAATTTCTAAGTGTTGTTCCTGTATTATTTCCTGACAGCTTTCTAACTTGTTTTATCTTTTGCCAGATTTTGTTTCAAATTTCATTTACATGTTTTTGCCAGGTTAATTTTGCATCATATGTAAGACCGAGAAATTTTGCTGATGTAGCTGTGTGGAGGAGTGTCCCGTTTAGATATAACTTGGGGATGATTTTGATTAGTTTCTTTAATTTTAGGAGTACTAGGATTTGTGTTTTAGTTATATTGATTTTTATTCGTTTCTTGGAACAGTATTCGGTGATGGCATTTAGTGAAGTTGTAGGTTTGAAACTGCTATAGATGGCGTTGCGGAACTCTTCCAGATAGCTACATCATCTGCAAATTGTGAGATGAAACAAAACGTTGGGTCGTCTAAAGGCATGTCGCTTACATACATGATGAAGAATATGGGGTAACTACCCATCCTTGAGGTACACCTGCCTCTGGAGTAAAGTACTCAGAGTAGGTG